GGATGTCCTCGTTGGCTTTTTTAAACGGTATGCAGGATTCTGCTGCTTACTGTACTACTCTCGAGAACTATTTGCTACCATTCGCGTACTGTTATCATGATAATTTATTCGTTTTTATGCAAGATGGGGCATCCATTCATAGATCCAATTTAACGCACTCGTGGTTAAATCAATTGGAAATTAATTGCTACCGTGGCCCTCTCGCTCTCCGGATCTGAATCCGATGTAGAACGTTTGGGGCCACTTGGCACGTGCAGTGTACGCCAACGGGAGGCAGTTCACCTCACGTGACAGCCTGGTTGATGCCATACAGCAGTGGGAATGGCATCGCATTGAGCTACTGTAATAGCCTAATTTCGTCAATGCCGAGTAGGTGTTTGAAGGCTATTGTGCGTAGTGGCGATTTGACAGGTTATTAGGGAGAAACTTGATATAGTTGGAATAAAAGCTATATTTTTGAAACATGTGTTTATCATGAAGTTTACATCCGGACTCGCAGATGGGCAGTATTCGTTCAGTATTGTATGCGAGAGGTTTCACATACATGGTAGATATTTATGACGATTGGAAACCGTGTGTAGTCAATTTTTGCATGACTTACGTAAAAATTCGAATTTCGGCTATGATTTTGGAACGCACTGTACAACTGTACAGTACTTAACACCGCCGTCCACGACCCTAAGGTCTTGCATAACTGTAGGAGTCTCTCCTACAGTTATGAACGCTTGCTTTTGTCTATGTATGATCTATCGACGTGCTTCCCGCCATCGACGTGGAACATGTGTCCGACCTCGAACCACGGAAAAGGGCCATTTTGCGTTTAGGGGGGCGACCTCCGCAGTATCCGAAGTCACCCGTTGTTAAGTACAATGGGTGCATCCAGAAAATAACACTGTATCACTCGACTACTTTTTTGACCAATCAGCGACCGATAAAGTGGTCGCCGGCTGACTACTTTTGACCATCTGATCAAGCCCCCTCGACCCCTCTCCACTCCACCACTCCCGCACCACTTCCCATTCCATTTTTTATACAGGAACAATTGAAATATAACTTCGGTAGCCCTTATCGAAGGGGACCGAAAACAAGAGGACGCAGTACGCAACTGGAAAGTATTGATTTGTTCGGGTTGGCTTGAGAGGGAAGATCGGATCCGTCCAAAAGGGATGCCATGTTGAGATGACAGTGTCAGAATGCGGGCGCCAGGTTTGAGGAGGAAGGTGTGGCTCGCTTTGGGATTAGGGGATGGGGAGGTTGTCGGCGAGTGGGGGTGCGAGTGGGTGTACAGTTCGCAACATGTTCCAACTGGGATGGAACCGCCACGGAACGGCAGTGATGGAGTGCAAGAGTGGTGGGGACAATCAATTTTTGAAACTATCATACAATGGTAAAGTGTTAGAGTGCTATTTTCTGGATGCACCCAATAATAAAATGCACTGTCCGCTATTGCCGCCCCTCTCTAGCAGCAAATTTCTTTCCTGTCACCTCTGACTTAAGATTTTCGCCATAGTGATCGCTACAAAAACCTCTCTACCGGATGGGTGCCTCTTGCATACCTACCAACGTCACCCTCGTTCACTGCAACTTTTGCCATTTCACCTTTTGATCACTGCAAAAATGCACCTGATCGCCCCCCCAAATGCAACATTATCTCAAAAAAAAGCGGACCATTCCGAGCGGGCCATTCCGAGCGGGCCACAACGGCAACTAATCCAGCCATGCCTGCCGCGCCCCTCACGTCCAAATAGCCAGCAAGCTCATGGCGGCAGCAGCGGCGACAAACACGACGGCGCGGCGCGCGGCATCGTCGCTAGCCTTCGCGTCGGGCTCGTCATCGCAACGAAACTCCTGCGCGAGCAGCTCGACGAACGCGACGTAGAGGAAAATGCCGGCCGAGAGGCAGTTGAGCGCGGCGGGTGCGACGGCGCCCATCCAGGCGTTGAGCCAGTGCGTAACGGCGGCGGCGCCGAGGGCCGCGCCCAGCGGCGTGACGAGCGCGAAGCTGACGGCCGTGGCCGACGCCACGTGCAGCGCCGTGGCGGCGGCCGCCGGCGTCGGGCTCTGGCGCACCTCGCGCGCCAACGCCGCGCCCAGGCTGATGGCCGCAAAGGTCTTGTGCGCGACGATGGCGCCCAGCACCGCGAGGAAGCGGGCGT